TGAGCACATGCTTGAAATTATAATAATCCACCCTTCCGACAGCCCTTGGCCCTCGTCAATGCAGATGGTTCCCAAAAAATCTGGGGACTGGCGCCCTTGCGATAATTACGGCGCACTCAATCGTCTAACCGGCCCAGATAGGTATACCATCTCACACATGCAGGAACTTACTGCATGCTTCACAGGTAAGACGATCTTCAGCAAGATCGATCTGGTTCGCACCTATCACTAGATACCTGTTGAAGAAAATGACATTCATAAAACAGCCCTTATCACTCATTTCGTCTTGTTAAAATGTTTAGGAATATCATTTAGACTGTGCAACGCCGCACAAACCTTCCAATATTTAATCCACTATGTCACGCGTGGCCTAGACTTCGCTTGTTCCTACCTCGATGATATATTAGTAGCCAGTTCATCGGAACACGATTACGTCGAGCACCTTCGATCTCTCTTCCACTGCTTGACGCAACGCGGTGTCACAGTTAACCCGACTAAGTGAGAACTCGGCAAATCAATGGTAGAATTCATAGGTCATCTTGTTTCATCGGCTTGTATCGAAGTCCTTCCTGATAAGATCCAGGCCATCAAAGACTTTCCAGCTCCGACTTCGTTCCAGCACCTCCGTCGATTTTGTGGTTTCGTCAACTATATCGACGCTTCATTTCGCGCTGGGCTCAGCTCATGCAGCCACTGACTAAGTTAATCAGAGGAAATGAACGTAAGTTTGCTTTCCCTGAAAAAGCACAGACAGCCTTCGCCGAGCTCATGGATGCTATCTCCAACATAGCTCTCCTTGCTCATTCCGAATCGACTGCACCCCTTTCTATTACTACTGATGCCTCAGACGTCGCGGTAGGAGCCATGCTCCTACAAAATGTTGGTGGGCGTGGTTGGGGTCTTCTCCAAGCCCCTTCAGCTAGCGGTATCCAACTACAGCACGTTTGGCAGAGAACTGCTTGCCATTTACCTAGCCATTTGTCTCTTCCGACACACACTTGAGAGCCGCGCTTTCACGGTCTACACTTACCACAATCCCCTCATATTCGCTTTCAACTCTGCTTGCAATAAATACTCATTATGGGAAACAGGACATCTAAACTTTGTCACGCAGTTCACTGCTGACATATGTCATGTCTCAAGTGTCGTTAATCCAGTTGCCAACGCTCTCTCACGCGTCAACCTCACTCTCCAGTTTTGTCCAACGTGGAACTTGCCGCCAAGGCAACGGCTCAGAATCAAGAGGCCGATATACAGCGCACTCTACAGTCCAGTTCGCTGCATGTGCAACCTGTTCCAACCCAAACCATGGAAAGAACCATTCTCTGTGACACTCAACAGGTTGTCCTAGACCCCTCGTACCTGTCTCATTCTGGCGCACAGTCTTTGAGACACTGCACTCATTATCACATACCGGTAGCAGTGCATCTCTGAAACTGGTCACCGAAAGTTTCGTTTGACCTTGCATAAAAAAAGATGTTCGTACCTGGGCTCGCGCCTGCCTTCAATGTCAGTGTTCTAAAATTATGTCACACCAGCAGTCCTCTTGGTTCATTTAACGCCCCAGACTCTTGGTTCTCGCATGTACAGTTAGATATGGTAGGTCCCTTGCCTCCCTCATGCAAATTCGTATACATTCTAACATGTGTCGAACGCTTCACCAGATAGCCAGAAGCCGTTTCCTTATCAGACCGTACAGCTGAAACTGTTATCCGGGCCTTCTCGAACCGGTGGGTCTCCCACTATGGATGCCCATCCACCATTACAACTAACCGAGGAACGCCTTTCGAATCTTCACGATTCGATACGTTCTGCAACTTTTAAGCTGTCGCCGCATTCATATCACAGCGTATTATACAGCAGCCAAAAGGCTAGTTGAACGCTTCCATAGACAGCTTAAAGCCCCGCTCTGCGCCTCCTCCGACCCTATCTGGAGCGAAAACAATTCGCTCGTAATCTTAAGTATTCGCAGTAGCCTCAAATCTGTTTTGCACTGTGCAACAGCAGAGCTGATTTACGGCGCAACACTCAACTTACCAGGAGAATTTGTTGCACCTCCCGCATCGTCGGCTATGCCTCCGCCTGACTTTACGTCCTCCCTAGCTCAACGCTTGCGTTCACAACGCCCGACTCCGCACCGTGAGCAGACTAGGAATGTGCAACTGCAAAGCGTACTCTCTACTTGCGCTCATGTCTTCCTCCGCACCGACGCAGTGCGGCACCTTCTCTAGCCTTCCACACTGATCTATTCGGAGATCTGCAACGGACTCCGAAACATTTTATTTTAGACTAGAATGGCCACTGAAGAACTGTGTCCATCGACTGCCTCAAAGTGGCTTTCTATGACGAGCCACTTACAACCCGTCCTGATGTTTCGCACATGCATCCGCATCTGCAATGTCTTCCCAAACACTGGATAGCCCGAAACCCTCCTTTCCCCTTGACCGTCAACCTACCGTGCCTCAACCCTAGACAACGGACTAACGCGGAAGACAGGTCAAACGTCCGGTTAGTTTTTCCGAGTTTGTAAGTGTTCGCTATTTCCATAGACACGCCATTTTCGTCTTTAGTGGTATTATTGCATCATTCACAAACATCTTGCAAAAGCGAAAAAACCCAAAACAGTTTGAAAACCTAAAAAGCTTATTTGGTTTTATCATGCATGTCGTTTCCCGGACCCTATCCCACCCCTTCTGCGTTTTAGCTTCCAGAAACTCAATCGCCGGAACTGCCCAAGCAGCCCTCGATGGACTCGCCAACCGGCTCCCCGCAAACCCCGCTTGACTTGCCAGCTAACGAAAGATCCCCTTTCTGACCCAAGGAACAGTCAGTCGCCTTTGGCCGCAGACAGCCAGAAACGGGTTTGTCCAAAAAGGCTCTGCTAGGCTTTGCTGACGAAGTCGCCTGGATTTCTTCGTGAGATGAGGACCGTGGACTAAAGTGCGGTGCGAGGTATGACACCTCCTATGCGCACCGTCGGGTCTGCAGCAAAGGGTAGGTCCTGTCGGATTTTTTTCTGGACTAGCCAGTTTTTTACAGTCCAACCATCCCGCCCCAGCGGCCCACCGATAATGCACTCTGGTCCACACGATCAGCATAACTAATAAGTAACCAGAGCCTGAAACCAGTGAACTCTACTACACACCCCATCTTGGAAGCCCTTGATCAAGCCAATACAACTATTCGCACCCATCCACACCTTCCGCTTTCCCTCACTAAGCTCTATTGAAAACTTCTGTCCATCAGTCTTCTAGGGGAGGCCCATGTACTGCACCGGAAAACACGCTTTCAACATTTTGCAACGTTGGATTTTACGATTGTTTTAACCTGCAAAACGTCCACTTGCTTTAATGATTGCACGTCCGTCGATACAATGCTTTTTGGTGAGTAACTTGCTTCACCGTTTCTCGCTCTGGCAGATTCGCTTTCTGTGTTTGTAACCTACATCATATATGTTTTGTTCACTCGCCTTTGACTTCTATACTGTCTCGCGTTTGACACGTCTTACCTGTCATTGCTTACCGAATAGTATCCCAGGCTCCACCCAACAGCGTCGTTCGTCGGTGGAACAATTTAACATGTAAATTATCTGTAAACAAAACATGCATATATATATTTTTTCTGCAAGGGTGTTCAAATCGTCCGCCGTCTTGCTACATGCAGTGAAGAAATGTTCTGCTGCAGCTAATTAGTATTCTCTCAACGGTCTCGTTCGTGATAGTGCGGCATTCGTTCATGAAGTTATCTCTCATTTGTTGCGATGAGTCCGACCCGCTTTGTAAACCCTTCGCTATACATAATCCCAAATCAGACATTGCAGGCTATTCAAACCTGATGACCGTGCAGACCACTCCGCTGGTCGTCTTCGGCCGATCCAACGATGCCCGAATTTCTCGCTGAGGTACTCAAGTTTTGCGGGTAATATGCAGGTGCGCCATCGTGCTTCCACCAAATGGTACTGCATACCCCATCGGCATCCAATTGTGGAAGCACACAGGCTAGGAGCAGCTGGGTAAGGTGATACTAAGAAAAGTAAGGCATACTTGCTAATAAACCAACTATCAACCACATTCCTGGAACAAAAAATGATTCCACGTTATTCTGACTTGTTAATCCAACCCAAAATCCACGAGCTGTATGCTATGTTGAACTGGTAAAGCCCTGTATAGTAGTGGGTCATACATCATCTAAAAACGCTGTTATTCTGTCTCCTGCAAATGAAAAGGTGCTTCATCCGTGAAAATTAGTGGGTGCATGCTCCTGTGATCAAAAACCCAATGGCAAAATGTATTCCGTTACTCCGGAACGTTTGCCTTCAGACCTGACCTTGAAATGCTTAACATCTACAAGTAGGGAATTTACGTGTCTAAGAAAATATGCGACTCGTTGACAAAGAGACGACCACGTATTGCAGTGAATCATGTCTATGCCGAAATTTATTATGCACAAAATTGGTGATGCGACATCCACTATTTGCCTGACGTTGTTGCCTGGATTCTCGGTGCTAATATATATCAGAATAGTCATATTGTTTGTCAATTTTGGCTCTAACATTTACCTGTATTCGCTAAGGTGCGGTAAGCAAAAGAGAAGTTATGCCAAGGTATTTGCCTTCTTATAGGTATCGGTTGCTACTTACTATTATCTGAGAGAAAGTATCAAACACTTCGCCTTATCGATGAGCAACCACTAAATACTTTAAGCGCAGAAACCGAAGCGAACAAGCACTAAAATCGTTTAGTTGTTTTAGGACGAAACTTGATAAAAAGACAACCAAACAGCATGCCGTTCAAGAACAAAAAGGTATTGTCTCTTTAAATAGTCCCTTTACTCTCCGCATGCAAATACAAAATAGCCGGTAGTCGAGTGAAAAAAATGTATGATTCAGGAAGTATACTATCCAAAACTAACTCAGATCCGTTCGGGATTTAGCTCCATGGTTAAGAGGACACCAGATGCGACATGTTCAGCATTGGCACAAAGTATGTAGCGCAAAACATCAGGTGGCTTGTAATGATTCAACACACAAAAAATGACAGTGCAACTTGATTTATTTGGCATTAGCGATGTGACACAACGTTACGTAGAACTTGACTCCATTAGTGCTCTCTCGCACACTTCTCCATCCTCTCCATCGCTACAATAGAGAAGAGAGAATAACGACTTTGGAAAACAACTATTCAACCTACCAGAATGCATCACTTCACGAACGCTTCGACCAAGTTGCAACATTTTTTTGCCTAGTTCGTCTTGCTGCATCTTGTTGTACATCTTGGTTCGTAATTTAGGTCTAATGGCTTCCATACGATCCGACATCATACTCATAAATTGCTAATTGGTCATAACAGATCACAAAGGCGTGTAAAGACTTACTTCCATAGGCATGTCCATCATTTGCTCCATGCTCGGAGGTGGTCTAGAATACGAGGCACAAGGTTTACACAGTTTGAATCAACTCACCCATTCATGTTAGCCATGCCAACTGCAGTCAAAGCGGAGAGCAACAGCAACACACTGAAACCGTGCATGTTGTTAAAGTTGTTTGAACCGTCTGTTCAGCTAAGCCAGAACCAATGCAATGCATTATATATAGCACCTCACTGCAACGGTGACCCGAACTCTAATAAACTGTTTTCCGGAACATTCCTTCTCGTTATTGGGTAACACGAGCTGATCGTAAAATTGTTGTTCATCTAGGTCGCGTAATTTTAAGGTCGCGTTTGTTCATGAAGTTCACACTACACACCTGCTGAGCTAAATGAGATTGCGCACCTAAATTTGTTCGCGTATTCGGTGGCCTGTATTCATTCTATCAGAGGACAAATTTTCCTGTTGTGCTTCGGAGTTTATTGGCTTAGTTTTTTAATATCGTGACCTACCTCTTACTTCAGTATTGTTGCGGTACTTACCAAAATTAATCCGCAAGGCTTCACCGTTTTCGAGCATTACGCGAAAGACTCCTGTATGGAGTAGGTGATAATTTTGGGGTCATTGTAGTTAGCGTCGCTAGCTACAGAAGTTGACAGCCGGGAATTCTAAGCACTTCTAACACGTAATATCATCGCTTACGACAATCCCGCAATCTCGTTTGAACTGGTCTAACTCTAGCTGAAGTGTTTAACTGGTTCCCTTTAGTCCTCCCTGAGTCCCCCCCCTCTCAGCTGCTGACATTATAACTGCGATGTGCGCACGTGCTTGGCAGTAAATCACCAGAGGCAACTAAGACAGCTGGAATAGGCGACCAATCATGACTAACGCAGATAGCGGCGCAACAACATTAATCAGTCAGTTGGTTCATCGCAATGGGATTATATCCACAAAAGTCTACCAACCCGGAAAAGCACCAGACGATCTTTTCGCCCTATTGGAGCTCGTCAATGGTGCACACTCCATCAGTCTCCTGTGAGATCAGAACCCATGACCGCTAGTGGCTAGCACCACTAGCCAGCGGTTTATACCACTGAGCCAGGGGATGGATGTCCGACCACCAAGAGTTGAAGTCTGACTGCGAAGTAGCCCGATTCATCCTTCACTACCATGCCGCTTACTGCCATAAAGAATGACAGTGGTTGGTTTAAGAAAATAACCGGTAAGCTGCTTTGTAGTTTATAACAATGTTACGAGTGATAAACGATTTCCTTAAAGAGGACATCAGCCTTACTACCCTTAGCTGCACTAGCAATTATCAAATTGATATATTCCACATCCTGCTGTTTAATAGTATATTTCGAGGGGTCATTAAAGACCAAATAATTTCACTACGTAGTACGATTTAGAAACATTGCCACTGTCCATTCATGTAGAAAGATTTCGCTTGTTCGAATCTTACGTACCTATGAAAACATGACATGATTCCCACTTTAATCAAGCCGGACCATTAGACGTTTTTTGTTTGAGTCCACTAGCACTATTATTAGCGATTTCCCAACGTGTAATCCAAGTAGGTTTTACATTTTCTACACTCTGGATCTACTCTTGCAGGTCATGACACCCTGTACGAGAATGCTTTAATACTACTGACGAACTGGGTGGACACAGTCAAGTCGGGAATGACTTCCGTAGCAGGTTGCTTTCAAAGGAATTACGTCCCGTCAATGCAAAACGACCACAAGCATTCACCATAAATGCTCAACTATTTGTACTCTGGACCGAAAATGGTGCTAATATGGTCAATGGTTGATAGTTTATTGCCTCGAAAAATGCTGAAGCTTGACTGGTCAAGCCGGATGACTGGTACATGGATATTTTATGTTGTAGACCTTAAAACAATTCTCTGTACAACCAGCTTCAGGTAAGGATAGCAGGTAGACGAAAACAGGGCGTTAGGGAAGTCAACTGCATTCTCTACCCTTAATCCAGCGGATAGCTGCAGGCCACGTTTGTCCCATTCGAATAGCTGTCCACATTGCGATGGCTCCTCACAATCCATTAAAACTGACCTAATCACTCAGTAGATGCGCTGTTTCTAAGCTGTCAACCATACTTCTAGACATAACGTTTGCTGTCCTGAATTTTAAGTGCACACTACGATGCGTTTCGACTACATCAGACCCCAGCAAAGGTAGATAGCAAGCCTCGAACCTTAGACCATTGGGGTTACGGGCGGCGACCTCAGTCATTTAGCCAGTTGATCACGACGAACAACGTTTAACACAACGGTTAATGACTGATTAGAAGGCAATTTTGGTTGGCCCTCCTATCAGTCAATAACCATCGTGTCAAGCGTTTCCCGTTGTGACCCGGTGGCCGAAGGAATATTTGTCCCGGTTATTATTGCAAGGCTTAGTGTTCGATGCGTGCTATCACCAATTGATGTCAGAAAATGAGGTTGAAAAGCAACGTGTTTTGCATTGTTTTCGAGCGAGCAACACCCATCTGCCATCTGCTTCTGTTACTTTCCCATTGCTCGAAGTGACTAAGTTTCACTTCAGTACGAATCATTGTTCATATTGGGCTCGAGCTACTAAATTCAACCACACAACATGAAATTCAAAACAGCCCTTAAATAAAGCATCTATTCATGTGAACAAACTTTTATTGCGACTAACTGACAATTGATTTGCCAACTTCTTTATGATATGATGGATTAAACAAGGTTACATGGCGTACCTTTTCCGTCAATGAGCCAACCTTTTGCTTCTATTCCTTTCTGAGGCAGTATTTCTGCTTGCCTGACGTTGCACAACGCCACAACTGGGTGCCGGCCACTAAGGCTATTGCTTTGTCCGAAGTTCAAACGGAAGCATAATGCTAAGTAGTGCAATTTGGAAGACATAAAATCCTGAGTCGAGCTTGAAACGTTAGATCATGGGGAGGAATTTAGCGAAGGCATACATAACGGTTAGATAAACTTAGCGAATTTTCCATCGGTTACACGGCCCAGACAATTTCAGAGATTGTGTTCTCAGGTTGGTGTTAGATTCGAACTCCAGCCAAAAGCAGTACACAATCTGCGCTATTTTTTGCGATTCAGTGGTGAAACTACTCAGATGAGAGAAAAAGTTGAGTGCCATCTTGTGCTAAGTGTAAACTCACACACTGATCGAGCGCAAATCCTAATGCACAAATATCACGTCAAAATGCTGGGCGGAAAGGCAAATCGCTCCTATTGCACTCTTTATCAGCAAGTTCAAGAGAGGCTTTAAGATTTGACTTAAAAGAAAGAGGTTCGCGGTGGAGCAGAACGAGAAACAGAATGGAGAAAGCAATACTAATGTCGCCTCTCAAGCACACTGAATGAATACAAAGGTAGATAAACTTTTCTATAGATTTTCATACTTGCCTAACACAGGTCAAACTAAATTACGCGTGTTAACACCGGGGGATTGCTATTCGATATTACTGGCTGAGTTGTATCATTCATACCCATTTGAACTGTCGCAAATGTGCCTGCGGGGAACCCGAGCAAAGCATTTACAACTTTGGAACGAATCATGTACCTTGCTTCAGACACTCAAGTTGAACTTTCCCAGAAATCGAAACGGCTATCCTTGATACATGCGATAGACTGCAAGTCAAACTAAGCTGTATCCACCTACATGGACGCATTTTCAACCCTTCACACTAACAATGCAAATTATAGTACAACAAAGCAGCAATGTGAGTATACAAGTCACAGCAATGGAACGTTTAAAGTGCATCTTGAATCAAGCATTCGGGCACGAAAACGGCATTTTAATCCTGATAGTTAGCATAGTAAGCGTAATAAGTAAGGCAGAATGGAGTTTCGATGCGATGAGGTAGGCGGGCATAAAACTTTGAATTTCAACCTCATGGAGGTAATCTGTATATACCAGCTATGATAGTATGCATGGAGAGGTTTGCTAACTGCTGATTGCGCATCGGTTGGGGCCCCAGAGTTGCAGACACGGAGGTGTTGCACCAGAGTGGAATGTATGCAGTGGACTGCATAATTTTACTGAGAAACCTGAGAAGGCTCGGTCATGTGTGACGCATGGATTCGACTCGGATACCGAAACAACTCTTATACGGTCAGCTGAGTATTGGGAAGCGGCACGTGGGGAAACAAAAGTTACGTTACCAGGACATGATCAAAGTGAGCCTCACACGTTCTACTCTTGATTGCAGGTCATGGGAATCGAAAGCGGTTGATCGGCGCGTATGCCGCGATCTCATCACAAAGACAGTTGCTGAAGTGCGGGAGAAAGACCTCATGCATGCAGAGAAGAAGCGTCAAGTTCGGAGGCGGCAATCACCGATGAATTGTAGTTCATCGATATCGAGTGCATGGTGCTGTAACACACGCGGTCGCAAGTGCCTGAGTCAGGCAGGCCTAGTAAGCCATGAGCGAGGCCACTCGGGACTACTACCGAAACGCTGACGGGTTCTGCAGAGAACGTAGGCAGAACCGGCGCAGCGTTTGCAGGTACGCTGCATTCGATTTACTAACCGCGTGCTTGCATGCTAATTCTCTTTATTTCAGGTGGCGGGTTTTCAATTATGCCTAAATGCATTTCTTTCTCATATAAATGTCTACCTGTACCCTATTCCATTAACTTGCACACTTCGCTTAAGCCAATTGTAGTCGATTTCCATACCATTTTTTGTTCGAGGTATTCCGTGAAGTATACTTGCTGACCTCGCGAACTTATCTAGCATTCCTTTGTAAGCAACTTATTACCTATGCTCACTAACTTAAGGTTTATATCACCGTTTCCTTATGCATTAATCGAGTTATTTTCTTTGTCTTTCTCTCTCAAATGATTGGTTGTTGTTTGATATCCCCGATGTGGCTGCGCTTGATGTGCATGTTGACAAGTTGCCTACCTGTCTATTACCCACTACCTCGTCCAAACTGGCTCCAGGAGACAGTTGGTCGTTGCTGTAGGGGACGGGATGCATGGTCCTTGTGGCCGTTTTAGGTTCGAAGCATGGTTTCATGCACTCAGTGTGTAGCGGACTACGGTCCAGCCACCGTCTTGTGTGCGATTGATTCCCAAATACAGCGTGCTTGTGGTTGCCTGTGAAGGAGTGTGGACCGGTTTCGTTGAAGAGATGTGTTTCCCATCCACATGCCTCCCGGTCTTATTCCTTCGGGTTTACACTGCATATGGGCTGTGGTTGGAGCTATG